CCTGGACGAAGTCTTGTTGAGAAGAACCTCTACCAATTTTAAGTAACCAGTCCTGGAACAGTAGAAGCCTTGGATCCGGTGCTGAATTGGAAGCGCCTAATATTCGAATGTTTTTATGCAATCGAAATTGAATTACCGCAGGCCAGAGATAAGAGTTCAACATGCAGAGTTTAGCTTGAACGAACATTTTGGCGCGTTTTACGACTGGCAATGTTTGACGAAAATCACCACCAAATATGACGCTTATACCGCCAAAGGGTTCTGAGTTCTGTTTCAGTTCTTGTAGACTACGATCGACCGCTTCGACACAGAGCCGATTCTGCATAGATATTTCATCCCACACAATGACCTGGACTTTTAACAGTTCTTGACCAACTCTAGTCTTGGCATCGAAGTTGCAAACAGAATTGGACTGGATTTTGACAGGAATCTTAAATCGAGCATGAGCTGTCGTTGCGTCACGCAGCATCAGAGATGCTATTCCTGAAGAAGCAACCGTCGCAATGTCCTTGCCCTGGGCTGAGAAATAAGAAATCAAAGTATTCAGAACATGTGTCTTTCCTGTTCCTCCAGGGCCATCGATGTAGACCATCCAAGGCTTTGATGTTGAAGCTAGGCCAATGACCTCATTCGCAATTTGTAGCTGATCCTGATTCAGGGAACGAAACCGAGTATTAAAATCTTCTTCTGGATCATAGCACAATAATATTCCTCTGTCGGTGAACGAACGGAATAAGGCCCATTTAGATTCGTCAGGCGGAAGGAGACCAACATCTTCGAATCGTTTATCATACTTCTTCAGCTGGAGATGTAATTGAAATAAAGTGAAAGACTTGATATAATCAGGACTAAGATTTGCTGAGCGCCGATGCCCAGAAAGAACGTAAGCCGAGTCATCACCCAACTCATCTATGAAGGTATCTAGGAGTTTGTTTGGGTTTGAGGGAGGTGAATGGACGAGAATAATGCAGAACATAGCTTGTAATGCAGCTCCCAACATCCAACAACAAGCTTCTTGAATAGCTGCTTCATAATGTTGATCCGTGGATAAAAGTCCCATGGCCTCGGCAGCGGCTCGATATGAGGCGTATAATCGCCCCTCGACGGTTCGAAGGTCTTGATAGCTTTTTGGGCCACGCTTGTTAGCTAGTATGAGACGCAGAAAGTAACGTTCTCCCTCTGATAGTGATGCAAAGTAAATCCGACCAACAGCGTCCGACGTCCTGATCCGCGGTTGCCACCGATTGTCATCGTTCCACCAGAAATACTTTGGCAAGTCCTGGTAGAGACAATCCTTGGCCTTAACGCCTAGGCCAGATATGTCAGTCTGACATAACTTGAAATACTCAGTCAAAGTCGTTCGGTCGGCTTTGCCTGATTGAAAAGATCGCTTGACCATTTCTGCATCAAGATAGAATATCTTCTGCTCCTTTTCTAGGTGTAGAGCCAGCCTCTGAACTGAGGGATAGCGTCCATTCATAGGAAACTGGAATAGGCGATACGCAGCTATGGAAGAAATCATTATGAGCCATTGTCAATTAATAGGACCTGGATTGACATACCTTCAGAGGGTCCAATGTAACGCCCTTCAACAAAGCGCTGAACCTCGTCACCATCCATAATTTTCATTGAAGACCGGTCAACCCCTTTGCAGATGTACTTAAAAAGATATTTCATAGCCCGTATCGTAAATGGTATCTCAACATTTATGTGACAATTATATCTCAGGAGTAGAAATTTGTTATATGGAACGACATGGCTGTTGTTGAATTCCATTCCCATCTTTCTAACTGACGCTCCTTGGTCCCGCCGTCTATAATCAGGATACGAGTCTTCTGTAATCTCCGTTTCAGGCCGAAAAGGTTTGGGATAGCCGTATTTGCAAAATCCGTCTTTCCAACAGTTTGATTTCACGCCACATGGACCATGTAGCATGTTCCTCACGACAATCTCGTATAGGTCCGGTTCTTTAATTGGACAGGGAATCTCGGCCGAGATGAGTGAATCCACTGCCGAGATTGTTCTTGGTACATCAGATGGATGAAGCATCACCATGATATGCGCATGAGGAAGCCCCCTTTTCTGGAACTCGACTGTGTGCACGACTGCTGCAACTCTTCCGAGCAGTGATCCTTTAACAATATCGTCGAGCAGCGACGTTAACTTCTCATGGAAAACGCGAGCTATGAGATCGGCCCTGTCGCTAGGTTTATGATTTGGAGGTAACGCTTCAGTCACTTCACGCCACTTCGGATTTGCAGTCATCGTGATGAAGAGTGCTGGTCTACCAAATGCCCTAGACAATGCCATCGCATCTTGGTACAGCTGGGCCATGTTTCTAGGAGAACCAGGAAAAGTAGAGGGAAGAATAACGCGCCGACCTTCGACATCAGACTCGTTATGAATTGACTCCTCGACAGCCTTGTATAAATCCGCTTTAAGTTTCTTCTGATTGTGTCGGATAAAATCTAGGCGCGCACGTTCTACGCATACATACATGTCGACCAATAGTTCCTGGAATAGAGCTCTTCCATGTAAAATAGCCGAGAATTGACCCAATTTGTCGAAACACATCGACGAATACCACTCGTCCTGGGTAATTCTTCGTCCTAAAGAGAGACACACGTTAGATACTGCGCATGCTTCAATCAATTGTCGTGACTTACCTAAGGATTTATCAGGAATACAGTCCGGAACCCATCCTTGCTCTCCACGAGGAAAAAATATTGGAAACCGAAGAGCAAGATATCCTGGAAACATGTCCGTCACATGCTTAACACCGCCGTTGAGCTTGTGTAGAACAATATCCCGGGGCCCAATTTTTTCTTCATCATAGGTTTCGAGAACAATTGCGACCTCATCAACGCGAGGCTGATTGTAAGTATTTGGATTCTGATTCGGATCATTTAAAGCTTTCAGAACAAGTGTAGCGGCAGGATTGATACTGAGGACTTGTCTGACAGTTCTGTAGAATTTTGCGTAAGAATTATGTGCACTGATCCAACGTTGAAGATCTAACAAAATCCTGGTATTGACTGATCCTCCGCACTTGTGTTTTCGCATTGCTGCTTCGGATTCGTCGTTACCTCCAATGACGTATATTTGAGCAAATTTTGATTCATCCTTTGATGTTGGCAATTGCTCAGGAAGATTATGAAACAAAGCACCAGAAATCTTGAACGTATACACGCCTTTTTTGCCTTGGACTTCTTCATCGACACAGGCTCCGAGCGACGCAAAGGACAAAGCGTTATTGTAGTTACGAATCTGACGCTGGAAAGTCATTGATTCTGGATTACAACTGTAAGCGAAAGTCTAAACCTGATCATGAGAAATAGAACATACCAGTATCAGACCGCGAGAGTAGATCTTGCAAGAAGCGGGGGTAATCAAGACCACTGTACGTGGCAGGAATGGAAACGTGGCCTTTCTGACAACACATAGAATAAGAAACCCGAGAGCTTTTTGATCGTTACCTGTTCTTTCACATTTCCAGTGAATCGCACCGCAGCTGAGGCAAGGATCAGAATAGGGTCCCATGTAATGAGGGAACATGCCTGGAAAAGATGCTTTGAGATAAGCCTCATGATTCTGGTTAGGAGTGGTGGCTGCAAAGGTGGTATGAGAAGCCATTAATATTCTACTTATCGACTTCGTTGATTTGAGACAGAGTTGATCCTAGTTTACGCTTTATGAGGAAGAGGAGTAAAGAATGGGGGCAGGGAGAGGACCGAGTTCCGACGAATAGCATATCCTTTAAGTCCTGACCTAGGTTGAGCGCATAAGGTAATCGTAAACGACAGAATCGTAAAGTGATTCAACCAGGATAACCACGATGTTGGTCAAGTGCCGAAATAGGTAAAGAATGTATGTATTTTGGATGATGAGACCAAAGCCACAGTTCATGTCCAGTTTGTAACTTAAACCGTACTTTGGAAATATTCTATTCATATAATGAGGAGGGACCATATGTGAATCTGGATTTAAGAAGAAGGCTTAGGAATTGCCATAGTCGTCATATTGGCAGATCTCAAAGCTTAAGGCCTGATCTTAGTAGACAGATGAGTATAATCGGAAATGACACAGACGATGGGTGTTGGCCAAAGATTGGGCAAGCCGTTCATCATGTCCCGAAATAACAAACAGCATTGAGTTGGTCAGATTAGTTCACAGGACTCGGAATTCATGTGCCAACCTGGTTGCCACCGATCTTAGGTGACGTTCTCTTCAGACCCTGAGGAAGCCCGTGAATGGAATTTAGTCTAGGAATAGGGGTAGGAATTTTTCTACTTGGTACCTACATGCAGGAATCAGCTCAAAAGAAATTTCATGAGTTCAATCTTTTCTCAAGTAGCTGAGGTCCTATGCTTAATCCATGCCCCATGTTTATACTCCGGGAGAAATATAAGATTCAAAACAAGAAGTTCAACCTGAGCAATATAGTTGCAAAAAAGGGCAAGTTCAGCTAATGATAGTTATCAGGAACCCAACCATTCCTGTCTTCAACAGTATCAGCGGTTTTATATATTTGAACAACGACAGGGCAAGGGGAGAGACCAACGCTGGAATTTATTTTTTTAGGATTGCATACATTTGGGCTAAAGAAGTGTCTGTCTTGGTTTATATTACATGGGCTATGTGTTGGCAAATAGTGATGCGGTCAGATAACAGTTGAGCAAAGCCAAACATTGGCTTGGATGAGAACAGAATTGAGTCGAGGGAAAAAGAAGTTGAGTCTAATGTCTTTATCAAGATAAGAACTAAGAACAAAAATCGAACAACATCTTTGGCAAATGTTAGGAATAAGTATTGACTTAGAAACTGAGACAAAAATTGCCTTTGAGGGTGGCGACTTAGAAACAGAGCAAAAATTTGCATTTGAAGGTTGAGGGACTTTGTCCGTGACTCATAATAGGCATTGAGTTCACGATCAGGTTATTAGTACATGACCATTAAGAGGCCAAGGTTCCAAAGTAATTTTGAGAAGCCGGAATCGAGTCTCATTGCTTAAGAGCTTTTTTGGCGTCAGCTAAGATAGCCTTCTTAGTCCTTTTCTTACCCGAGGTTGAAGCAACTGTTTGATAGTAGTTATCAGACGCAGTTTCAGTTACTGGGGTTGGGTCCAGGGCCGAGGGCTCGGGGTTTAACCCAAGGTTGACTACAGAGCCAAGTTTAGCAGTAGGTTCCACAAAAGCGGGTGATAGTTTGGCGGTAGATGAGTCCTCGATCGAGATTCTGATCTAGATCGTCAGCTTGCCAGGACAACACATAAAATTGTGCAAAAGTTCAACTTACAAGCCAGGGCGCCTAGTGTATGGTTGAGCTTTGTTGCTCTGTTGAGATGGTTGACTAAGGCTTGACTGATGACCGGATGTGACTGAGACAGAGATGGCCTGAAGACACATAGTCCGAGTTTGTTAACAGGAACAACATTGATTCAGGACCAAAAGTTTCACTTACGCTAACAATCCACATGAAATTTTCCTCCGCGTAACCAACAATGTTGCCGGAAATCATGATTTCTCGGCCAAGTTGGAAAAGGCCAAAGGTGTTGGCCAAATTCTTCCGACTTCCGATATTATAAATTGTTTGGAACTGGACTTGGGCTTTGGCCTAGTAGAAGATTCAGTTAGTCAAGTATTGGCTCAGTCGAGGGAAAAAGCACAAACCAAGGGATCGTAGTCGGTGTGTTGTAACACAACTTGAAGAATTGGGGTAGTGGACCCAGAACTGGACTCTTGACCATTGATTTCCTTTTTGGAAACAACAATACCTAAGCCGATGACAGTGGCTTTGTCACACAACGACTGAGTGAATTTTGCAGATTCACCGAGGTCAATGATTGTGTTGGAATCATAGTGGAAGACAGGAGTAGACTTAGTATTCAGCGGGATGAGCCTGCCAGAGACTAAGTAGACATGACTCTCGATGAGCGCAGTTATGGCTGAGCCATAACCACACAACTTAACCAATATGTTCTTTTCTTGGGTCGTGTTGGGATCTGTAAAAGCCAAGGAGGTTGAGTAGAACAGTTGGCCATAGGTTGAGCCAGGAGTTATTTTATGTTCCAGCTGAGAAAAGGGATGTGGGATACAGTAAAACAATGAGTATAGTTCGAAGTAAGAATAGGCGAAGAGCAGTGTATTACCTGTTCGAATATGTCAGCTACGGTTCGGCTGAGCATAGGATGACTGAATTTTTTAACAGAGGACATTGTGAACTGATACCTCTAGCCGGTGATAAGTAATAGGTTTCTAGGTTGAGAGAAGAGAATGATAATTGGAAACAACAACAGGGCAAGAGGTGGTGATGATATAGCAATGAGTAAAGGACAGGCAATGAATGAGGGAATAGAGCAGTCTTAAATCATGAAGGTTGGTCTCAGGTTGTCGATAAATTAGGCCTAAAGAATAAGGTGAACACCGGCAATGGCAAAGTCAATGACGGAATGTTTTCACTTGATGATTGAGAAATATCCAGGCAGTACTGATTGACGGTAAAGGCAAAAGATAATAGTAAGTGCTGGACAGATATAGGAAATGAGAAGCAATAGGTTGTAAAGGTGTTATACATTGTTTTAAAGGCTCAGCTGAAATTTACATAGGCAACGTTTGCTGTTGATTCGTTGCAAAAACGGATGAGGAAAGTTAACTTAGGTTATGTATCTTTGAGGCTGCGCCCCGGATGAGGAATTGTTGATTGATTTAAGGTGGGTATGATTAGTCTCGACCAGGGAAGAGGTTATCATTTTTGATATAACTCAACCGTTGACAAGGCATTATCTGTGCATGGATGAGGCAAAAGGTTTCGGCATTGATTTATTATGGACTGTTAATAAGTCAATAGGTATACCTATTGAGTGATTGTTATCCTGTGCAGCAATTGACACATGGATGCGAAAGCTCTAAGAAAATGATTTGGCTTAGGAGAGGATGATATTTGGGTGAGCTTGATGGTGTGTGTCTGCATTGAGTGTGTCATTGTCAGAGGTTTTGGACATGAGTCAAAGAGTTTATGCACAGAAAGTTTGTGTTTTTGGGCTGAAGTCGAGGCCTGTTTGTCTGGCTAAACTCCGTTCCAAGTAGAGCTCAGAGAGCGAGATCTCATTCATGGACTGAGCATTAGATAAATGATACCGGCATGTATCAAGAGAGTGGCTTCGCCCTGAGGAGCAAAAAGCCTCGAATTTATGCGAAGCGAAGCGAGATGTTGCGCTTGAATACAGGAGATGAGAGGCTTAAAAACCAAGATTGATGGGGTACTCCCCACCTACCTTAGTAAGGTCTTCAAGAATCATTTGAAAAGTAGACCGATTTTAAGCATTATGTCTAGGAAGGCAAAGGTCTTGTGTTCAAGCCCCCGTCGTGTGATAAATTGTTTCACTCTTGTGGGATGGTTATACGGGGCAAAATATATTTTAGTGTAGAGTACTCATTACATGACCTATGTTATTACTATCAAGATATGAATAAAAAAAGACCTGGGTATTGAGGAAATAACTCATCCTGGCCGATTGAAAAGAGATACAGTTGATGGCACAGTTCAGTGGTTTTATCTTGAACCAATGAAGAGGGGGATACAATTATAAGAAAAGACAAGATGAAGCCAAGAAAAGAAAAAATGTCTTTGACTTAGTCAAAGGATTATTACATTGGCAACGGAACAGAAACATAAGATAATGAGGCAAAAGCTGGGGTAGACCGATGAACAAGAGCAAGAAAACAAAATTATCAAAGTTTTCGGTTGACAAAAGTTAGCTTGTCCTAAATCAAGGAAGAAAAAACTGAAAGAAGGCCGGGGTGAGGGCAACAGGTGCAGGTTTTCAGACAATCAGTGCGTCGATCTATGGAGAGCAATCCGACATTGAAAGATTAGTTAGGAATAAATAGGAAGAGAGGAAAAAGAAACTAACTTCAACATAGATAAAGCTTTCTTTAGTGTTGGTGATAATTCCATTGATCCAGAAATATTGATCTAAGAGGAGATTGGAGAATAGCCTTTGGATATGAATTGAGGAACAGTGACAAACAAATGTCCGGCCCTGCAGAATCAAATGCATCAGGATGTGTCGACTTGAATCTTGGTACAGGAATACTAACCATCACTTGGTTAGATTTAGCTGAAACCGTATCAGAATCGATCAAGATATGCATCAGTAACTGGCCGTAGATCTGAGGCTCCGGCAAGCGATAGCTGAGCGGAATTTCATGATAGTAGTTGGAGGCAGTAGCATGAACTGTGATAGGGCTGGTAGTTGACTCAGCGTGAATCGGGCCCTCGAACACTAACCAACTTCTAGCATTGGGCCCAGAGTCTCTCGGGGCTGGGGTAAGAACATCGGCCTTGAAGTTATAAAAGGGTTGTACATCCGAGTTGGTGACTATCCAAGGTGTTGTGTCAGGAATTTTGTAGAGGTGTTTGGGTGAAAGTCTTGGGGAATCGGCCACAAATGTGACAGATCTCAGAGTAAGTTTGGTGAAGTACATTGTGGCGAAGATTTAATAGGCCTTTGGTAGGATGGACACGAGAATATAGGTTCATGAAGAGTTTGATTATATGCTGTGGCAGGGGAAATAAAGGCCAGGTTTCAGGTGTGGGTGTCGGAAATGAAAATCTATTCAAGCAATAGGAAAATGGTGCTAGGTTTTCGAGCTAAGATGTTGTTTACTATTCCGGCCCAGAGAGATTGTTGACGTAAATGGAAAGGGGGTTTATACATTGTCGGAAGGAGAAGCTGAGGATTGAAAACTGGAAGTATCAAATCTTGGTCAGATGAAGTTCATTGAAATGGGACAAATTGATTTTTGAAATAAGCTAGACGTTCAATCTAGCATAATGTTCTTTACCCTGATTAAAAACGTTGGCTTATATTTGAGTAATGTAAAACAAAGAGGAGGATCAGAAACAGAACACATAACATGATTTATTGTTGGAACGGAACAGCGATTACAGAGTGAGACGCTTTGGTTATAGTTTGGTTGAGAGATTAATGGGTAGGGGAAGGTTATGACTGAGACAAAGACGTAGAATTTGTCCAAAGCAAAACGATAAAGCATTGGTATTGCAAAGCAGATTTATTACGGAATTGTACAAGGAACGGTATCGGGTCTATATCAACGCACGCGCTATGTGTGTACGGAAAAAGAAAAAGAACAGGTAATATAGTAA